GTCTGCCTCTGCCTCCCGAGTGCTGGGATTAAAGGTGTACACCACCACTGCCCAGCTCAGCCCTGGGTTTGATTCCCAATGTAGTTCTAGAATATTAGTGTTCATAGTTTGGGAAATTTTTTTTTCTTGAAAAGAGTCTCAGCTATGTAGCTGAGTTGGGTGGTTTTGTGTGCCAACTTGACACAAGCTGGAGTCATCAGAGGAAGGAGCTCAGCCAGGAAATGCTTCAGTGAGATCAGCTGTAAGGCATTTTCCCATTTAGTGCTCAGTGGGGGAGATCCCAGCACAATGTGGGTGGTGCCATCCCTGGGCTGCTGGTCCTGGGTTCTTTATGAAGGTGGACTGGGAAGCAGGCCAGTAAGCAGCTCCCCTCCATGGCCTCTGCATCAGCTCCATCTTCCAGGCCTGTCCTTATTTCCTAAGGTGATGAACAGCAATGCTGAAGTGTAAGCCTAATAACTCCCTTCCTCCCCAGCTTGCTCTTTCTTTGGTCATGGTGTTTTGTCACAGCAATAGTAATTCTAACTAAGACAGTAGCCATGACTTGGTAGACTCTATGCAGTACGGACTGGTCTCAAACAGAGATCCGGTTGCCTCTGATGCCTGAATGCTGGCTACTGCACCATACCTGGAGTCTTTATATCAAGCATCTGATATAACTTGGACTGGAAAGCTGGCTCAGTGGGTAAAGATGCTTACTGCCTAGGCTGAGCACATAAGTTTGGCCTCCTGGGACCCACATGGTAGAAGGAGAGAACAAATCCAGAAGGTAGTCCTGGGACCTGTGCATGCACAAAACAGAAATATAATAATAAACATGAGAACAGTATATAAAAGGTCCAACTCTGTGATACAGAAAATGAAACCATAAGCATATATTGGAAGGGTGGTTTTGCAGGCCTATAATTCCAGCACTTAGAAGGCTGAGGCAGAAGGATCAGGAGTTCAAGGCTAGCCTGGTTCATGTCAAATTCCAGGCCAGTGGGGTTACATAGTGAAACCCCCCCCCCAAAAAAAAGTTACCTAGGATTTTATAGGGCGCTGAAAGGGAAGCCATAGCAGCCATTATCCCAGCAGCAGTAGTTGGGCCAACTGGACATCAAAATGAATGTTCCTTGAGATGGAGTCTTTGAGGGATTATCTGATTGGCTCAGCAAAGGTTCTGTATCTGACCACTTAAGTGTGCCAAGTCCATGGGGAGGACCTGCCCATTTTAGTGTCCATTCAGAACTATAACCATGGTGCTATAACCTTTAATCCCAAACTCAGGAAGCAGAGGCCTGCAGAGCTCTTGAGTTTAAGGCTAATCTGGGCTGCCTGTACAGCGAGACAACAGACAAGGTGGATGGACAGAAAGGAGCCAGGCTGAAGACTGTGCTCTAGGCTCCACATATGCATGTGTGTACACATAGAGAAGTACTGGGATTATTAATCAGGGCTCCACATATGCGTGTGTGTACACATAGAGAAGTACTGGAATTTTTGGTCAGGAAAGGAGATTGCTTTGCAGTCTTAAAATTCATGATGCCTGTTCTACCTCGCAGGTCTTTCCCCTACCAGATTGCTTTTGTTCACACAGATAATAGAGGAGTTGGCAGATGCCCTGACCTACTGTCATAAGAAGAAGGTGATTCATAGGGACATCAAGCCAGAGAATCTCCTGCTGGGGCTCAGGGGTGAGGTGAAGATCGCAGACTTTGGTTGGTCTGTGCATACCCCCTCTCTCAGGTAGGTCAGGTGTGATGAGGGTGGGACCCTCCTACCATTGAGGAATTTCCTAGGTGAAATCATCTCACATGTTAAGAGCCAGATACAAACTGGAGCTTGTATTTGTGCACCTGTTTTTCCAAATGCATACATCTAAAATGCGTTTGCAGAGTGAAAGAGTTGGGTGGAGTGATGGGTCAGTGGGCAAGAGCATTTCCTTTGTAAGCACAGAGTTGAGGGGTGGAAATAGGCAGCTCCTGGAAGCTTGCTGGCCAACCTGCCTGGCAGAAAGAAATGACTGGTTAAGGTTCAGAGAGAGACCTTGCCTTAAAGGAATAAAGTGGAGAGCAATAAAGACAATGAGTGTCCTCTGAGTGTCTGTGTGTGTGTGTGCGCGTGTGTGTGCGTGTGTGCGTGCGTGTGCGGTTCTGGTCTTTATTAGTGTGTGCCTTTGCCAAAAGATTCCATGTAAATTAGCGTTCCAGGAATGATTTTTCTGTATTGATAGCTACATTTGCTTGGATCCTCATGATATATCATCATTATGTTCCAAATCTTTTTCCTCCTCACTCTATAGATCAGGTTGGCCTCACACTTAGAGCAATCCTCCCGTCTCAGGTGTCATTTACTACACCTGACTGAATAATTTTAAAGCATGGGATTAATGCATTTTCCTTTACAGTACTTGTCTTCTCTTGAGTTTTTGGGTTTTGGTTTTGAATTTTTTTTTTAAGATTTATTTATTTATACAGTATCCTGCCTGTAGGCCAGAAGAGGGCACCAGATCTCATTATAGGTGGTTGTGAGCCACCCTGTGGTTGCTGGGAATTGAACTCAGGACCTCTGGAAGAGCAGTCAGTGCTCTTAACCGCTGAACCGTCTCTCCAGCCCTGGTTTTGTTTGAATTCTTAATCTTATGTGTATGGGTGTTTTACCTGCGTGTGTGTTTTATACACACATGTACCTGGTGCCCAGTGCCCATGAAGGCCAAAGAGGACGTCAAATCCCCTGGAACTGGAGTTGTAGATGGTTATGGGCTACCACATGGGTGCTGGGAAGTCCATCTAGGGTCCTTTAAAAGAGCAGCCAGTGCTCTTAACTGCTGAGTCATCTCTCCAGCCCAGCCTTCTCTGAATGATTGACAGTTTCTCATGTTGTAGTCCTGCCTGGCTCTAGCTCATTCTAGCCTCAAACGTACAGTATTCTTTCCTACCTCCCAATTCTGAAACACCAGGATTAGATATGTGAGCCTCCTATACCTTCCCTGAATCTTCAAGAATTCTCTGTGTGTCCACATGTGTGCTCAACAGGGAAGATTTCCCTCAACTCTGCCCATGCTCAGCACTCCCTTCTGTGTCCTGCTCTAGGAGAAAGACAATGTGTGGGACTCTGGACTACCTGCCCCCGGAAATGATTGAGGGAAGAACGTATGATGAGAAGGTGGATCTGTGGTGTATTGGGGTGCTCTGCTATGAGCTGCTGGTGGGAAATCCTCCCTTCGAGAGCAGCACTCACAACGAGACATACAAACGCATCCTCAAGGTGAGATGGCCACATGTGCGGAGTCCCACACATCAGGAGCCAGACACTGCTAGCTGAGGGTTGGAGAGCTTACAGGAGATTGTCTGCTCTAGCCAGAAGGGTGCCTGAAGAGACCGACAGAACCCAGAGGAAATTAGCTAAAGAGATAAACTAGGTTGTCTTTCTTCTTCCCTGACTTCATTAGGTGGATTTGAGGTTTCCTCAGTCAGTACCTGTGGGGGCACAGGACTTGATCTCCAAGCTTCTTAGGTACCATCCCTCAGAACGACTGAATCTGGACCAGATCCTGAAGCACCGCTGGGTCCGGGACCACTCTCGTAGGATGCTGCCTCCCTCTAATCAGATGGCTTCCTGAGCTCTGTCTGCCTCTATTAGTTTGTGTTTTTCTCCAGGCTGTTACTTCATCTGTTTTGCTTGTTTTCTCTTGTAAGATGTGAATTAAAACTGATAAATATCAATCTGTTTGGTTGTGTGAATTAGCATGTCAATGTAATAGAATCTTTTGTCTTGTGTGTGTGGTGGGGGTGAAGTCCAGGGTTCCATATCAGTTATCTCCCTCTATTGCTCTCTGATTGGAAGCATCACCTCAGCCCCTGACATCCTTATCCAAAGAGTCTGGAATGTTTGGTTGGGGCTTCACCCCAGCTCCTGGTATCCATTTTGGAATGTTGGGTGGAAAGTTCCATTTCAAGCCCCCTGTCCTGGGAGTTGACACAGTCCAGACTCCACCTCTGAGAAATCCTGCCAAATGGTCATCCCCACCCCAGAGAAGGTCAAGACCACTCCCACAGGCTATTTAAACTGTCCCCCAGAGAATAAGCGTGGTCTCGCGGGTTTTTGTTTTCCCCCTTTCCGTGTCCCCCCACTGCCAGAGCCACCCAGGAGCACTGGCATCCATTAAACCTGGCTTCTAATTTGGTCTGATTTGGATTATTGTGTTGGTGGAGAGGTTTGTCGGACCAGAAAAACAAAACTCTCCAGCTCATTTTTTTGTTTTGTGTTTGGTTTTTCAAGACAGAGCTTCTTTGTGTTAACAGCCTTGGCTGTCCTGGAACTCCCTGTGTAGATCAGGTTGGCCTCAAACTTAGAGATCCGTATGCTTCTTCCTCCCTGGTGCCACCACGCCACGCTTCCATCTCATTTTTTGAGATGGTAGGTCTATCAACATAAGCTCACCCATTTGGCTAGACTGGCTGATCAATGAAGCGCTGATCTCCTATCTCCAGTTCCCCAGCACTAAGATTACAAATGCATATCACTGTGTTCAATTTGTTCCAGGTTCTAGGGGGTTCTTCCACTCACGTATGCAGGCACACCTACGTTCACGAACATACAAAATAAGTAATAAATGAAAAGGGGTAGATCAGGAGTGGTGATACATGTGTAGACATCTGGGCTCCTGCAGAGTGCCCAGTTTCTCATCCTTATTTACCCAGATTTTTGGCAAAGATTCCAGACACACCCTCATCTCTAGTCTACATTTTACATCGGAAGAATGGCTTTCTCACCCAGTGCCCGAATCCTTTCTAGTGGTGTGCGCTGTTACTGTGTGGGTCTGTGCATGCCTACAATCTTAAAGTGTTCAGGAGACTGAGGCAGAACAATTTCAAGGCCTGCCTGGGCTGCTGAGGAAGGGAGTTCAAGGCCAACCTGTCTCAAAAACAAAAAAAAGTAAAACAATTTCAAGTAAAAAAAAAAAGCAATAGTTATATCTAAACTGGGATTGTGGTCTATTTTAGGAAAAGACAAGGGTTCCATTCTCAGGGTGGGCTCCAGCAGAGAAAGAACTACTTACCCAGAAGGCACAGCACAGGAGTCATGCGGCTCACTTGACAAATGAAAGACCTAATAAAGGACTCTACCACTCTGTCAAGGAGCTTGGCGATTCCGTGACGTCATCCTGGAGCGACCCTGTAGCCCATGCCCGCTGTAGAAATCCAAGCACCGCCCGAGGGCATCTCCTCTGAGAGGCAAATCTTGGAGATTGCACAGTGACGAGGTGCGGGCCTCCGTGTCATGGGCACAGCTGTCGTCAGCCAAGGTCGCCTTCCCGGGGCAGGACCGGGTCCGCCCCCCACGGGATCTCATGATGGCCTCGGCGCTGAGGGACTCCGGGCAGGTGGGTTGACGGAGATTTTCGATGCCTCCACGGTTTGGAAAGTCTGTCAGTCGTGAGAGCCTCTCGCTTCGTCTTTGTAGTTGTGTTTGTTTAGGAAGAGTGGCTCTGGATGGTACTCAATTTATTTCTTGTGTTAGGTCCCAAACCCGGAACACGCAGCGAGGTGCCTACTTAGCATATCAGAGCGGACCTGGCCGCCAGGCTCCCGCAGCTTCCCTCAGTCCCCACCTGTTCCAGGGTCCTCTTGGCGGGCACAGCTTGAAATGGATGCCTCTCAGCTAGTTATCCCCTACAGCTTCCTCATGTCAAGAATGTCAGGCCTCTGGTAGGTAATTTAAGAGATTGAAAAGGGGAATGAAGCTCCAGGCTAAGGGCTTTCATCAACTCACAATTCAATTAGACATGGTCTATAAGTCTCTTTTTTTGAAACAGGGTTTTTCTGTAGCTTTAGAACCTGTCCTGGAACTCTGGAGACCATGCTGGCCTTGAACTCACAGAGATCCACCCGCCTCTGCCTCCCGAGTGCTGAGATTAATTAAAGGCTCGCGCCACTGCCCAGCAAGTCTCTTATTCTTTCTGGTTGACCACTTATGATCTTGTTTCCTTTCCCTCTCTGGCTCACTGCTATTCAGTTGTACCCACCTGACTAAAAATTCCCTTTACTCTCTCCTTTACCGTTGCAGTTCACTCTGCCTCAGACAGTCCTCGAATCCTTGCCAGACCTTTCCCTGTAATTTCTGCTCATGTGTCATTTTTTTAGTATTATAAAATGTGTGTGTGTAAGTGTTCAAGTGTGCATGGGTTATAGCCACTCATGTGCAAGCAATGACTTGAGTGTGGAGGTCAAAGGACAATTGTTTAGGAATTGATTCTTCCCTACTTTTATTTGGGTTCTGGGACTCGACCTCAGGTGGTCTGGCTTGGAGGATAAGCACTTCTACTCTGAACTACCTCACCTGCCCAGATAGCACTCTTTAGTTCCTGTAAACCCAGCACTGGAGAGGCAGGAGCAGGAGGATTGCGAGTTCAAGGTCAGCCCTGGCTAGCAAATTTGAGGCCAGCTTGAACTGCTTATGACCTTGTCATAACAAAAATAAATAAGCAAAGACGTGAAACCCTTCTTGAATTAGTGGCTCTCTTTTAGCCCTAAGTCACTGATATATAGGTGACCAGATGCTGTTGAAGCTAACAGAAACTAAAACATTTAAGTGTGGTATTCTTTTGGTTTGGTTTGGTTTTGAGACAGGGTTTCTCTGCGCAATAATCCTGAGTGTCCTAGAACTTGCTTTGTAGACCAGGCTGGCCTCAAACTCTGCCACCTTCCTCCCCAGTGCTTGGATTAAAGGCGTGCACCACCACAGCCCAACCCAAGTATTGTATGCTTTATCGAAAATCTCATCTCAGTCTCATGGCTATTTTTTTTTAACCCATGTTTACCTTTTTCTGTTTTTCTGTGTTTTTTTTTTCCTTTCTCATAGCTGTTGTTGCTGAAGTGAGAATTACTGTGTTGATGGAGGCTCAGAGATGAAGTGAGGTACCTAATGTTGCACAACTGTCTAGTGGTAGTTTCAGGAGCTTGCATTGAAACTCTAGGAGTCTGACTTTAGAACTGAGGACTTGTGAAGCGTTCAGCATGGGCAGGAAACTAGCTGGACCAGAGGAGCTCAAGAAGTGCTGTTCTTAACAGCATTGGTATTGGGTCCATTCTCATTACCATTATTTGTCATTGTGATACCCCAGACAGAACCACAACCCACAGTTTGTCTTCCTTGTTTTTTGCTTTCTAAGAGCGCCTGGCATGGGAGGTTGCTGCCCTTCGCACTGACGTATTATGCCATCTTAGCTTTGTTTTCTATTGCCATGATAAGATACCCTGACAAAGGCATTTGAAGGAAGCAGGGATCTATTTGGTTCGCGGTTCCGGGTCTGTCCTGAACAGAGAAGTCACTGCAGCAGGCATTTGAGAACCGGTTACAGCATGTTCATGGTCAGAAAGCAAGAGCAATGGATGCGTGCATGCTTGTGCTCCTCTCAGTTTTCTCTGGTTGGTTGCTTTTGAGGCAGGGTCTCACCGAGTAGCCCTGGCTGGCCTGGAACTCTCAGAGACCCATCTGTCTCTGCTTCTCAAAGTGCTAGGTTTGAGCCATCACACTCAGCATTTATTTTTATTCATTTGAAAGTAACTTTTGTTCATTTATGCATATGTAGGTTTGCATTTGGAAATCAGGGTTTGGGGAGCTGGGTTCTCGCCTCTTGCTATGTAAGATTCCAGGGGATAGATCGAGTTGTAAAGCTTGGCCCCAAGTGCCTTTTCATGGTGAGCCAACTCAGTGGCTCCACTTTCTCCTTTTATGTGCAGTCTAGGGCATAAACCCAGGCAATGGTGTCTTCTTTAGGTTGGGTCTTCCTACCTTAACATAATCAAGACCGATCTTCCATAGACACACCCACAGGCCATCCTGATCTAGACAGTCTCTCCTTGAGACTCTTTCCAGGTAATTGTTGATTGTGTCAGGTTGTCAGTTCATTATATACCCCAATAGCATATCTCTCCTCGTGGAGCCCAGGAAACAGCATAGCCTACAGGATGCGCTGTGTAGTTTGGGCGTTAATCTCTCTCTGTACCCTTTGAGCAAAGTACACATGACAGTCTACCGAGCAGCCCGAGGCCAACACTAATATGCTGTGACTTTTCAGGTGTGACCTTTGAGGATGTGGCTGTAGTTTTTACTCAAGAAGAGTGGGGGCAGCTGGCTCCAGCTCAGAGAACCCTGTACCAGGAGGTGATGCTGGAAAACCATGGACTTCTGGTCTCTCTGGGTAAGTCTGTTACCTCCCCCTCCCAGGGGGGCAGGTGTTCTGCTTCCATTCTACCCTCTGGCTCCAGACCCTGATGGTGAAGAGGTCCTCTGAGCCTGCCTTTTCTTTCTACTGCTTCGGACATATTCTAGACTCATTCTTCCTGTGCTGTATCTCTTTGGGCAATAAACCTTTAGACTCCAAGGGTAATGTAGAGAGGATGGTAGAGGAAGGAAAGAGCATTTGGAAGAACCCAGAGGCAGAATTTCCAGATACTTTAGCTAGTGATTTTTCCTCACAGGATTTATTTTTATTATTCTTAGTCATTTGTATGTGTGTGTGTGTGAGTATGTGCAAACACCACGTCCAGCAGAAAGCTGATCCTAATGAGTCAAGAAGGAAGTCTGGTCCAACACAACTCAGTAGCTGGTATTGTTCAAACTTTGAGAGTTTGACAGCAGGCAGTTTATTTTAGACATATTTAAGCACAGGACACTTTAGAAAAAAGTTTCCTGGTGATAGTTAATTATATATATATACACACACACCAAAAGTTCCTGGAGCCACTGTTCTTTCCGGAGGTTACTGTGCTTATCAACATAGTTCCGGCATGGCCTTAGCTACAGTGGATTATAGAAAACCAGTACTTATTCGCTGTGGTAGTTCACACCTGTCTATAATCTTAGCACTTTGGAACCCAAGTCAAGAGGATCAGGAGTTTGAGGCTGCCCTAGGCTTAGATAGTGAGCCCTTAGTAAAGGGAGGGAAAGATGGGGGTGGAGGGAAGAAAAGAAAGAGGAGTGCAGGAAAGGCTTGCCTCTAAACTGAGCTAAATAGACTTGATTTTTGTCTTTTGTAGAATGATCTGTTCTCATGTAGCCCAACTGGCCTTGAACCCATTATATAGCTGAGATGACACTGAGTTCCTTATTATCCTGCCCCTATCTCTGAAGCGCTTGGATTATGCTGTGTCTTTGTGTGTGTGCACACTTGTGCTGTGTATTTGTGTGTGTGCACACTTGTGCTGTGTATTTGTGTGTGTGCACACTTGTGCTGTGTCTGTGTGTGTGCACACTTGTGCTGTGTCTTTGTGTGTGTGCACACTTGTGCTGTGTATGTGTGTGTGTGCACACTTGTGCTGTG